ACATTTGGCCTATCACTGTGTTTTCCCTCCCAGGATTTGCAGTGGTGCGTTATTTTGCTTCTCTTTCCAGACATATGATCTAGACTGTCTTTTAATGGACTATGTCACATACTACATTGGAAATGTACACACTGATGTTCTGGAAGTGGATATACAAGAGCAATGTATGAACACAATAAATACACATGATATGATACAGGTACACGAAACATGGAGTGTGAGTTAGCTGTGGCTTCTCACTGTGACTGCAGCACTTATTGCAGCAGATTGATATTGAACATTTGATTTTCAAAGAATTCCTTATCAGAACCAGAGAGAAAATAGAATTAAAGAAATAAAATGCTTGCCTGTCTGATTATGAGAATACTTGCAAACTAGAAAGAGCTTCATTGCTCAGAGTGGGCTACTTGTAAGGCTAAGTTCCAAAAATGGCAGAAGAGAAGTAGACCTCTGTTAATAGACATCTTACAAAACATCCAGCATGTGTAAGTTAAGACATTCAAGATAAAATTCTAATGAGCCAGAAATCCGCTCTTGATTCTACCACCCAAATCTGTCTTTCTCTTCCTGAAAAAAAGAACACAGTATTCTACTTTTCCTGAAATGGCCCGTTATTTGGCTTTATCTTCTGGCAAAAGTTTTTTTTTTTCCTGTCCCCCTTAACAGCATCCCTCCTACATGTTTTGGGTTGTTTGAAAGTTATTTCCCCTTCATAATTCTAGCTTTGTCAGCCCCTTGTCTCTGAACCATGCTTGTTTTCTGTCCAGTTGGAAGAATGTCATCCATCACTTTTCCCACTCTCTCCCGTCCCCCTCTTCACTGTGGTGCTGAGAGTGGCAGATTTGGGAAACAGAAGGTTCTAAAAGCACCAGGTGCACCTTGAACCCAAGCGGTGCTGCCTGTAGTTTCATTTATTATCTTTCCATTGTCATAGATTTCCCAGCAAACTTTTGGCCTAAATGCAGCTGGTCTTCAGTCCTGTCCTGGCACTAGGGTTTTGATACATTTGGCACTTTAACCCCTAGAAGCCATTCCTTCTGCTAATAATACTATAGCAAGAAGCTGCTTTAGGAGCACAGTGTGGATGCTTTCTTTTGTAGTCCTATCCCTCTGTATCCAAAGCATTAATGCCTTTGAATTTAGCATATAATGTACTCCAGGTAGTGGGTAGGGCACCTAGGCCATAGCTCTTAGTAGTGTGTGTGCCCCCTACTCCCCAACTAATTTTTAAAAAAGTGATGTGCAACTATTTAATCTTTTTTTTTAAGGTGAAAAAACATTTAAATGACCATAGGGACATGGCCAGTATATTGTTCCTCCTCTGCCCGCTGATGATTCAATGTATATTTTTGATGTACCATATATATATATATAATACACACACACACACACACACACACATATATATATATATATATATTATAAAAATGTTGAAATTAAAAATATTTTGATAATCAAATTTACTTGATCTCCTGTGTTGCTTGATCAATAAATTGAAGTTGTTGGGCTAACGATCCATGTGTGCGAGGTTCGAGTCCACCCTCAACCATGGGAGCTGACTGTGACATTGGGCCAGTCACTATGAGCCCAAAGGGCTGTTGTTGTTGGGGAAATTGGAGAATGGGTGGTTCGTAAAACTGCCTTGAGCTACTGGAGGAAAGGATATAAACCTAACAATTGAATAAGAGAACAACTCTCAATTCTCTTGACGTGGTAGTGGATGATGGGATATTCCTGCAGTTTCTTAGTTCATCTGCAGGTTGCATTGGACTGAGCTGATAAGCTCAAAACACCTTGGGAGCTTTTCCATTTCTTCAGCAGCTAATGTAGTGAGTTCATTATTACTACTGGGAGTCTATTACGTGATTACAGCAGTTACAAATTTGATCAATAACATTAATTAATTGGAATTAGCCTTTCAGAGCTGGCATTTCTTGCACTCTGTCACAAAAGGTCCAAGAGAAGTAACTTTATACAATGTACACAGGTATCTTGAATTGACACTTGACTAAAAATAGCATTGAAGGCCCGGCCTGCACAAACCTTGGATGAGGTAAATATAACTGTTCTTGGGTTGCACCATTTTTTATTGTACCTTCATAAAATAAAATCTCCCTGGCTGTTGAAAACTAGTTGTCAGAATGATGGATTCTCTTCTAAGCTGCTTTTCATCCCAGTTTTCTCTGTTTAGTGACTTTTCTCTGGGGGCAGACCTTTATTATTAACCACTTATAGACTGGATTCAAGCATCCAGCTGAGGTATGGTTGACTGAATAAAACATATTTTGCTCTCTGCATAACACATTCAGCCCAAACCAGAGTGTGGCTTACTGCAACATAAAGACACAGCCATAGACTGAAAGCATGCATGCTGGCTGGGAAATTCTGGGAGTTGAAGTCCATACATCTTAAAGTTGCCAAGGTTGAGAAACACTGGTATACAGGCTATGCTTATCTGCTTCCTGTACAGTGAAGTATCAGCAAAGGCACATTTCCTTTGAGTCCTCTTCAGGATGCTGAGTTTTCTCTCAGTAGTCAGTGGGAAAGGGTTGACCTATGAATGCAATGGAAGTTCTATGATGTGCTCTCTCTGCAGTGAACAAAAACTACAGAATAAATGGCAGCTCCCATTTATTTCTAGTAGCTTTGTGTAGGGTAGCTTCTGGGTTACTGTGCTCTATTTTAATGTGTACATGAATACCAGGGAAGAAAGCTTTCCAGCCCACGCTCCAAAAAATAGTTCCACCTATTAGCCCAAACCAATGTCACTTTGCCATACAAAGAACTTAAGTCTATTGAACCCAGGGCTTGGAGCTGAGGCAACATGTCCCTGAATTCCAGTAATAGATAAAGCAAAAAAATAGTACTGGCTTCATGTCTTGCTAATGGCATTCCCATATATACTTAGCTAGCTACACAGGACACTTGACTAGAGAGGCCTTTGGTCTAATTCAGCAGTTATGGATTGTACAGTGATGAAATGTGTACGGTGGGAAATCTGGAATTCTTTTTAGATCTGTATTGTTAACAGACAATGAACATCTTGACTGGTTCTCATCAAAGGAACACATTGCTGGACAATCCACTGGGCATTGTCTGTCTCACCAGTCTGCTGCATTTAGTCTCCATAAGTCCAGTTTTGTGTTTTCCAGAGCCCTTGATGATATCTTTGTGGTCTTTGCTTAAGTTTGCAATTGATAATCGTTATACCTCTTACAGAACAGAACACCAGATCCCTATGTGCCAGCTTTGACCTTCTAGAGGCACTAAGAGAAGATGGGCATGCAGAGTTATTCTTGCTATGTCCCACACAAATGTATTTCAGCTGAGCTTCCCATAAACTAGCTTGGCATATGGATGAACTACATGTTGCTTCAGCCAACTCTTTTTTTAATTGAGGCATGTGTTTGCAAGTGAGAAATGGTGGCTGGAAGGGAGGGACATGTTTAGTTCTTTATTTGGCTCTTAATTATTTTCCCCCTACACGCAAACACATTTTTCCCAGTCTGGCTCCTCAATCAGAAATCACTTGCAAAAACTAAGAAATTACGGGAGAAAACTGGTAATAAATGGGAAGATAAAATATCGCCCACTGCCTATTTCCTCCTGCAACATCTCTTTACACAGATTTGGCTACATGGAGGTAGATCACATGAACTTGATGGGGATTACTTCTGAATATAGTATTGCACTATAATACAATTTTTATTTTTATTCCACCAATAAGTTGTATTTGCTGATATGCACTACCATTTTTTAAATTCAAAGTTTAAAAACTGAAATTATTAAGTACTGCTGAGGAAGTGCAGATTATTCCCCCCTTACACATTTCATCACTGTACAATCCATAACTGCTGGATTAGACCAAAGGCCTCTCTAGTCAAGTGTCCTGTGTAGCTAGCTGGGTACATATGGGAATGCCATTAGCAAGACATGAAGCCAGTACTATTTTTTTGCTTTATCTATTACTGGAATTCAGGGACATGTTGCCTCCTGGCGGTAATATGATGCCATCAATGACTTTATCCTCCTTGAATCTAATCCTTTTCTGAGGCCATCACATTATCATGTGGAAATGAGTTCTTACAGAAATTCTATGGCAGAATTCTTTCATGGAGGCTTGAACACTGCTGGTACTTCTTTCAGAAATCAGAGAATTGGAAAGGCCCATTTAGGTTATCAAGTCCAAACCTCTGTTTGGTGCAGGAATTTAAATTAAAATATCCATGACCAATGGAAACCCAGCTTCTGCTGGAAGATTTCCATCCAAAGCCATGAGTTCTACTGATGAACTGCTCTGATAGGAAACTTTTCCCAAAGTTCAATCATAACATGCCATCTAGCTTAAGGAGGTTATTTCACTTCTTGAACTCTAAAGTCATGAGAACCAGCTGGGTAACGCCACTCAGGCATTTGGAAAATCCTATCATATCCTCCATTATCTTCTCAAAGCTAACCATATCCAGGTCCATCAATCTTGCCTGATACCCTTATTGCCCATGGAACCATTCTAATGTGCTGAAATTAAGTGGCATTTATAGGTTAGTGGATGTTTAGTGGATGTTCTTCTCTATACTCCTTTTGCAAATATGTAAGACTTTAGGAAAAAGGATTATTTTCTTTAACAAAGTCCTTAAAAGGAAAAGAATTATCTTCAAATTTTTCAGTATCAAATGTTTTGCCTATAATTATAATTTCCTTATTAAACTAATTATGCTGCCAATTTTGTACAATTTTCCTTCCGTTTAAATTACCTTTCCCATCCTTCTCTCACTAATGCTAAATTTAAAAAACAAGCCCCTGGAGAAAATAATTATATTCACATTGATGTTAGGTATCAATGTGTTGATATCATCTGTCCTGACTGGGACTCTGTGTTCTGTGCTGCATTCAATACAAATTTGATACTATACAAACAATTCAGAGCAGTGTCTAGAATCTGTTTTTAATCTGCACTTCAATAGTTCATAAGCAATTAACATAGGAATCGTGCTGTTAAGGAAATTTCTAAAGAAGTTTACTTGGAGGTCAGTCTCAATACATTATGGGATAACAGATTTAGTCTGAGTTGAATCCATTTTATCATGATATCATTTATAAGAGTTGTTAACATCCATTATCCAGATCAGGAAAACAAGGTCATGGTGTTTGGAAGAGACATTCACAAAACAATCAAATTCAGATCAAGGAGTTAATTTTATATACAAGATCACTAAAATCAATTATCCCCAAACTTACTTTCTGTTGGTGGATAATCTGCTTCTCCACAAGTTTCTATTCCACTTTTTCTCTGTATATTTCCCTCTTCTCCACAAATTGGTCTCCTTATGAAGTACAGCCAGCATCTAAAACCATTCTAGAATCTGCTAACTCAGGAACATGGAAGCTGGTGGATTAGCTTGGCCAGGAGGGCTTCAGTACTGAATGAAGAAACGTTCCATTCTTCTTCCTCTCCATGTTGCTATACCTATGGCCCATCCCTCCCTTTCCCACAACTTAAGATCAGAAGATAGGCCTGCTTTAATTGCCTTTTCTGCCACCAACACAGAGATATTTCCGGGAAGGCACTCTTCTCTACCGTGCTACCCTTCAGGTTCCAAATCAAGAATACAATTTAGTACCCCTAACACCAATTTCCAGTTTTAAAATGCAGGTTCTTTGAAAATTAAAATTAAAAAATAGCCTGAGCAAAAGAAGGTTAAAAATCCAACCTTTAATGCGCTCTATTGACCATTTTTACTACAAAATACACCAGGCACTGGACTTATGCAGGTATGATTTGCTTGATTTTTTTTTTTTTCATTTTAACTGAAAAGTCAAGAAAAAGTTCTACCGTCCTGCTCTGGATTTGGAGAGTTCTTTTTAGCAAAACCAAAACAAATGACACAGAGATAGAGACTGCAGGAAGAAAAGAAGTGCCTCATCTGGAAACTGCTACTAGTGTCTGCTCTGCGGCAAGGCCAGCCCTGCCCTGCATGCATACATTTTTTACCAGCAGTGGTGGGTCCAACATTTGTGGGTTTCATCCATCCACAGAACCACTGCTTTTGTTCTTGCGGCTGAGCGGGAAGGTGGACTTGCTCTGCGGCTGTGTCATTTTGCTGGCCAAGTAGACAAAGGGCTCAATGAGACTCCGGCGGTCGGCAACTGAGGTTTCCCAGAGTTTTACTTTCTCCACCTTGGCCCAGTGCTGGGCTATGTCGTGGTCCACACGCCGCTGTTCCTGCAAATCACATTTGTTGCCTAAGACCACAATAGTTACCTATGGAGATCGGAGGAGAGAGAGAAATAAATTCTAGCTAGTGCAATGGCAGATGCACAGAATGCTCCAAATCCCAGGATGCTCATGACATGCTGGAACAAGACCACCCAGGATATCTGGATGTCTAAATCAATCACACACCAACATCTCCAATGACAGCAGAGATTATTAACTTCTGACTCTCTGGCTTGGTGAAAGGATAACTTGACCTTGGGCAGGGGGTGCAGGGACTTCTAATGGTTGATGGAAACTCATGCCTGCTCTGACTCCTGCTCGTGGGGTCTCTCCCATAAGGAATTATTAAGCTACCAAAAAACCACACTACAGGTAATCCTCATTTAGCAACCACAATTGGGACTGGCAACTCGGTTGTTAAGCAAAGTGGTTGGTAAATGAAATGGTGAGCGTGCTTACAATCTTACTTCAGCTTTCCTTTGCTTTACAGACCTGTGAAGGTTGTAAATGTGAGGATTGGTTGCAAAGTTACTTTTTCATCACCGTCAAAACTGCCAACAGTCGCTGTCTGAGGCAGCCACTAAACAAGGACTACCTGTATCCTTTTGTTGTCTCTTAAATTGATCAGGGAGGTAGTGTGTTCCCCCCCTTAAAAAAAACCCAAATAGCTGTGGCAATTTGGGTTTTCTGTCAAAAGGCAAAAAATGAATTAAGATGTTTGATCAATGTACCTCTTTAAAGAGAATTAGCATAGCACATCTGTTTAGAAATACAATGCTTTTGTTAAATAAAGACATAACTGCTATTTATCAATTGATCCTCCTAAAAAATGAAAGACAGAATGACCACAAACAAATATACACACACATCGTAGATACTATGCTACCAGATAAAGAACAGATGAGAGGCAACAATGTCAAAATACCACAAACAAATATACACACACATCATAGATACTATGCTACCAGATAAAGAACAGATGAGAGGCAACAATGTCAAAATAGGTTCAAACCAATATGAAAATGCCATTTTTGTCATTTTGGGGTTGCGGCAACAAGATCATAAAAATTATCTCAGAATAAACTTGGAACAAATTATGTCCCTTTGGTTCAAATAGACACATTTTTGCTATTGGATCCCACACTTTTAAAGGACCCCCTCAATGAAAGAACTTCGACTAGCAGGGTCCAGAAGGCGGGCCTTCTCTGCGGTAGCCCCTGCTCTTTGGAACATCTTGCCCCCGGAGGTGCGATTAGCCCCCACACTCCTGGCCTTCCGTAAGGCTTTGAAGACTTGGTTCTGCCACCTGGCCTGGTGAGAATACCTCAGGCATGAGGATGGCTAGCCCCATAGAGGCCTTCTGCCTTCTGCCTTCAGCCTCAGATCTTTCATCCTCTTGGTCTCTCCTTCTTCTTTTTAGTAATGTTTTAAATTAAGGTTCTATGTGTTTATATATTTTATGTTTTAATGTTTGTTGTGAATCGCCCAGAGTTCCCCCATGGGGGGAGATGGGTGGTTGAAAAAGTAAGTAAGTAAGTAAGTAAATAAATAAATAAAGTTAGGTTTTGGAAATTGATTTGAGTGTCTACCTTAGAACATCCCTAAATTCTTTGCTAGCCAAAGGCTTTTGTGACATGAGTATCTGGGAGATCAGATACTCTGCAGATCCCCCCAAATAGGAAGGGCTTGAGAAAAGTCCACCTACCTCCTTCTTATCCTTATTTTTATCTATCTCCTTCTTGAGAATCTCCACCCTCTTGAAGGACTCCTTGCTGTCAATACTGTAAACCAGCACATATCCATCCGTGCAGGAGAAGCAATGCTTGGGCAGCTCCAAACACTGGGCAGCTCCATCCCTCAAGCCTCGGGTGTCATAGAAACGCACCTGTTCACGCATGTTCCGGTCTGTTTCAATGGAACCCACATAAATGTCTTCCTGGGTTTCAATCATCTCTGAACCTGCAGAGCCAATCAGACAGAATATAAGAATTTCTACCAAAATGGATCTTGTTGCTAGAAACACATACACAGGAATCCAGAATAACTTCTGCTAACTAGAAACACATACACAGGTATCCAGAATAACTTCTGCTAACTGTACTCGCTAAGTGTTTAATCTACTGTTTTCAACATTCTTAAGTTACCATAACTACTAAAGCCATCTGAGCTCTTTAGTAGGATTGTAAGTCAGAAGCTGCAGAAACACATACACAGGTATCCAGAATAACTTCTGCTAACTGTACTCGCTAAGTGTTTAATCTACTGTTTTCAACATTCTTAAGTTACCATAACTACTAAAGCCATCTGAGCTCTTTAGTAGGATTGTAAGTCAGAAGCTGCTCTACAGAGAATCATTGATGGTCCAATGCTTTTCTACTTGTATTCTTTTTGCCAAGACAGTCTAAGCATCTATTTTTTTCCATTTTTCTTTTCTTAAAAGCTGGCTTCAAATATATTTTCTCCACAAGCCTCTGGATTATTTATATAAATTAAATGGCTTTTAGCCAAAGGAAGAACTGAGCTGATGAAGAAACAAATTATACATTATATAAAAGAACTGCCTCCCTGCCCAGGAAGAGCTGCTCAGTGACTGCATTTGCACACATACTAATCCATTGCTTATGGTTCAGAAAGCACATAGGTTATATTCAGTGCCAAGCCAAAACAAACAAGCCATATTATATCTTAACAATTACTGTGGTTTGTGAACCATGGTTACAGCAAGGTTGCACAGCCTTTCCCAAGCTGAAGGCCCATTTAGCCTTTTACTGACATATGAAAGATTAATTTCCATTGAGTAGATGGAGCCATATGATTATCCTTCCAATGTAATGGGTACTGTAGTTGCTAACTTTTCAGAAGCTTCCTAGGGGCCACACCAAGGCTTTTGGGGGACCTCAGATTGGGCACTTCAGATTGATGACTTAGCACAATTTATTGATCTTGGAAAAATAGGGGAATGATGACTTTATGTTTAATTATTTCCCTCCCAACTGATCTTCTACTCAAAACTGATTGTTTTCTTTCCAGATGGTTCTACATACTTTTCATGTAGAAAAATACAGTCTTCAGGAAGAACCTGGAGGAAAAAGTGTGAATAGCTGGGTGGCACAATACACTAGATGAAAAGGAGGTTGGATTTGGGGACACAATGTGATGGGTAAAGGTAGAACAGTGGATTAATGCAGTGGTTCAACTCACCAGTGTTAACATGACTTCAGAGGACACACAGAACATAAACATGCCAACCATATGTTAGCCTACCATCATGGATGAACCCAGGGCCTATAATTAGTTTCTGGTTCAATGGAGCAGTTAATTCAAAGGAACTACAGGTAAATACCCTGCAGATCCAGCCATTGTATGTGCATGTCAACAAATGGGAGCAATTATGAGCAGATAACTTGCCAGTTGTGAAATGATGTTTTTGTGCAACATCATTGACTCAACACCTGTTCCTTAAATGTCATTGTTTTGCAACATGCATTTCTACATATGTCCCTATATAGATGAAAAATAAATTTGTGGGATTTACACATTACATTGAGCCATGGTCTGCACTGAGCCTGGTTTATTAAGCAAGCTTATACACAACGCTAAGCCATGTAAATCTTGATTCACAAGCCAACAGGCTTGGCTCATACATATTAAAGACAAAACCAAACAAACCTGTTTGAGTTCACACATTGTACTAAGCCATACTATGGTGCGTTTCATTCGGGCTTAGTATGCATACACCCATCAATCTTCTTTGTTAATTCTAGTTTATAAGGCAGTGTGTTGTACAACTCAGCCAACTGTGGTTATTCAGTGAACAATGGCTAAATAGATCATGACTTAGCAGCCAATGAAATAAAAAACTCTAAAATGAATGATTTGGACAGAACAGCAAAGAAATAAGGTTTCCCAGTTAATGCCAACACTTACCTACAACATGATTCCCATACAGAAGCTGCTCTAGGATTGAAGTCTTCCCAACTGATGCTTGCCCACACACTACCACTTTGCAACTCTTCCCCATTATCTGGAAGATGTGAAGAAGAATAATTCAGGAAGCCGTATATTGAAGGTGAGTGGTGAAAACATGCATACATGAAGACACAAATACAAATATTGTTAATGCTCAAGGCTGGCTCTGGATGTTCAGAGAGGGAGTCCAACATAATAATCAGGCTGTCTCAACCTTAGGTATTGGTACGCTGGTAGAAAGGACATGAACAGAAAGGACATGAACAGAAATGCATGGGGCTTTGTAGTGACAACTGCCTGGGCAGGGTCACGCAGAAGTAAGGTGGGGAACAGTTAATATGTCTCTGTGTTATTTGCATGAATTAGAAAAAAGTTTCTAAGGTTTGCAATTTAATACTTGCAAATAGAATTGATTTTTTTTTCTTTTCTGTTTTTCTGCCATGGCTGGTTTTGTGCTAATCACATATATCTTGACCTCAGGGTTCCTCTCTGACAAAATAGGGGCATTCATTAATTTGCTCAGATCTTGGCGCAGTTCTATTCTCCACAGTGATTCTCTGCATAAGAATGTCTGATTTGTAGTAATTCATGTATTTGGATATACTCAGTTGGCTTATGGCATGCAGTAATAATTTGCCTTAGTTTTGGATCTGGCTCTGACTGGTGGACTTTGGGTTTCCAGTGAAAACAAAGTAAATCCCATAAGACCAATCCTTGTCTAGGAGGCAGAAACAGGGCTACATCTGACAAGCTGATTGTTTCTTATACTTTATCTCTAATTTTATTCATCTAATCCCTACATTTTATTCCTCTACACTGCATGCATGGTGTCTCTTAGTTCCAATCAGTGCTTGAATCAAACAGGTCTTGCTGCTGGCTTTTATAGTTTTAGAGAGAGCCCTTCTACGCCTTTCTTTTTCTCCTGGCATAATCATGATTGCTGTGGAGGAGACATTAACATCTTTCCCTCCTAGTCATCCCCCATTAACGGGGAGGGAGCAGAAAAGCAGCTGAGACTTGCTAACAATAGCAGCAGGATTGGGCAATTTTAGGGATGGGCAGGAGACTTCCAAGAATTTCCTTTCTTCTTGTGCTTCTCAGTTTGGGCCAAAAACAAGTTCCATCCATTTTTCCTAAGTAATTTTTAAAACATTCACACAACCAGGCACATCTAGAAAGGGGATGCTTTTTCACAGTACTGTTGTTAGCTCTAGGGAAGCTTCTTGTCTGAAAAGTTGGCCAAACAAAATAACAACTTGAACAATAAAAACAGCCTGTGGGGGGCTTCCAATATAGATTTTTTCTTTTAATCTACAGCTAACATTAAAACTAAACCAAAAAAAAAAAAAAGTTAAAAATGTGAACAAAGCAGATAAGAGGTTTCCTCTGAGAATGCAACATTCTAGCTAATCATCAATCTGAACATGTATCCTGTATTATTGTTATTATGTCATCACTCGGAATATTTTTATGTCCGTGACAACCAATCTTGTAAAATGGGGTAGGAAAGCCACAATATCTCAAAATTAAGTAAGTGTTCTTGCTTTTTATAGAGGGAAAAGTGAAAGACCATGCTTACCAGTTGTGGTATCACCTTTGTGACACATTTTATGCATAGTTTTGTACATGTATGTATAGTATATAATTCAAATACAGGAATTATTTTTAGTCTGTTCTGATTTACTATAGATGAACCAGGATTTCTATCCACTATAAACAGCAGAGCAAACAAGGCAGCATTGTTACAAATTTCCACTGTTGAGGACAGGTGTTCCTTTCATCTTGTGTAGTTTGGGGCTGCTCAGAGAAATGTCACATTGCAACGTCAAATGGCAGAATTGCTGTCTCTTACATTTCATACTTTTGCTCCTTTACTGTGCATTCATGGTCTGTCAAACAAGGCCTGCCATCATGCATCTGATAAATCGAGTTCTCAAAAGCTGATGCCACCATTTATCAATTAATCTTCAAGGCACTGCTAGCCTCTGATGGGTCAGATAATACCCGAATTAAGCAGCCCAGACTGGTTGCTGCGCCTTAGAGAGGGAAAGATGTTCGCATGCAAATCTATAACATGTGAAATTAAATGTGGGTACAGTTGGCGTGCAAACCCACCCAATCACTATTGCGTTTCTGAAAGCGTGCAATTTTTCTGAAAAGTCGATCTAAAAAGAAGTACAGCTAATCCAGAGCAACTTACCTTCCCGACCCAGGCACTTCTCTTGATGTTTCCGTGCCGTGTTCAGCTTCAGCAAGAAGAGGAACTGAGGGCCGACAACTTGGCATGCCTGGGAGAAGAGGCATACGTGGGAACTGCAGCCCACAGCTCCATCTAGAGCTCCGTCTCCGATGGTGATTTACTTTCTCTTGCGATCCAGTTAAGTCGCTTAAGAAAAGGCGGCAGCAGCGCGTTGCCGTCTCACGCAGGAGAATGGAAACACAGATCTGAGCTCAGCGATCTTGCTGTAACCCAACAGGGGCTCTTTGTTGTTTGTTTTACGTTCTAGGAAAGTGATGGGCGGTCATAACTTTCAAACTGCAATGGTTTATTGCAGAACGAGGACTATCGATCTTTAAACCAAACGGCGGGGAGATGCTGAATTGAAAGTAATAAGGCGGTGCCGCCTTTCCCCCTCTAGTCCTTGCTGGTGGAATTTACATATTTACACTAAAGCAAGTCCTGTTTGGCAAGGGTGAAAATGCTGCTGACAGAAAAATGGGAAATTAAAATACACCTGCAATACAAATGAAATTGTGACAGAAACATGTGGGGTATTTTGACTGTTAAAATACCAGAAAACGTTTAAGGCTTGGATACCTCCGGTAGGTGCAGTGGCTGTGTTCACGTGGCATTCTTACCTTGATTAACTGATCTATGGTTTATGGAATTAACCCAATTTTCTGGGTTCACATGATACACTGAACAATACACCCAGCGCACAGGTTGGCTTTGCAGAACACATTAGGCTGAAAAATAGTTGGCTAGTTTGTGGTTTAATGTTCATGCAAACAGAGCCATTTTATTTAAGAAAAAACGTATTCTTTCTCCTGACATAAAAACATGATATATGAGTATATGAAGTTGTCTGCTAGTGCTTGTTTTCTTTAGTATATTGCTTTTATTTGTTGTGTACTACACTGAGACGTACGTTTCTTTCTTTTATACTGTATGTTATGTTGCCTTTCCGAAAATAGATATACGCCCTAATGGAATTCTTTAAAACTGTATTTTCCATTTTTATATCTATGGTGCTTGTCCCTAGCTAAGCATAAACAGGTCCTGAAACACTGGAGCCCAACGCTATCAAAAAGAGAGCTGAAGGCAGACGGGCCCCGACTTCCAGTTTTTTTCTGCATATTTTCCTCCGAAGAGAAATGCTTGTTTCCCGCTCCCTCCAGCAGCCTCGAGATAAAAAGGACTCCCTCTTGGAGGACTCGGCCGAGCTCTCTCCTCGCTCTGCCTAACCGGAAGTGGCCTTTCTACCCCCCGATTCTTTTGTCTCCGGATATGGAAGGAGGGGCTTCCGCCTCGTTCTTTTTCCCTTTCTCTCGTTCTCTTTCCCCGGCTCGCCGGCCGTTGATTGCTGCAACAAGGAACCAAGATGGCGACGGCGGGCGGAGATTGCGACGTGATTATGGCGCCCGCAGCAGCCCCAATGGTGGCTTCGCATTCCGAGGTGCCACCGATGTTGAGCGAAGAGGACGAGGGGACGCGCAGGTAAGCCCTCCGCCGCCGCCTCAGTCCCTGGAAAGGCGTTCTTACCCCGCAGAGGGGGAGGGGCTGCTTCGAGGCCGGGGGAGGACAAGAGGCGGAGCCTGCTTCACTGGGGTGGGGGAGGGGAAAAATCAAGGCTTTTTTTAGGAAAGTAGCTTGGAAGGCGGGATATGTGATATTGCTACCATTGTCGTTTGTTAGCTCTTCCTCCAAAGGGTCATGAATGAGAACATTCAAGATTAAGCCAGTTCATGAAGGGCAGAATGGTTAAGTGGAGCCTCCATATTTAGGGACAGTGTATCTCTGGAGTACAGAGTGCTGGGGAATAAAATCACAGGGAGGGAGTATTTTTATTACACATTCTTTGTAGGTTCTCTTGTAGCCTCTACTGGACTCTTTAGGAGATGAATTGCTGGATGAAGGGGATCTGCAGTCTGATCAGTATTTATATTTAATTGTGAACTTCCCAGGATCAGAGTAAAAGGATTCAAGCTGGAGATTAGCCATCCTGCTGAATCTGTGTCTCTCTGGTTGCAGACTTACTGGTGAATTCAAGAGGACTTGTTCCATTATCCTGTAATTCAGTTATTACAGTTCTCCAAGTACTTGCTTACTTTCCCACAGGGGTTTATCATGAGAACCCTATAAACTGGAATATATGTTCTGAAGAGAAACCAGAATACATACATTAGAATAGTATTTTTACTCTGTTTTACAGACAAGTTGGCTTGACCATCAAGTGGAATTACAGTTCTCTGATTTGTGTCAGATATTGTGTACATGACTTTGGCATATGGTTTGATATATGGGAATGATTTCTCTTTGACCTCAGCATTTCAAGAACATCCCACCAAGTAAACATATTCATTGGTTAAGTTGCAGCTGTTCTTTCCATGGGTAGCTATTAGATAATGAGAAATGCCACAGCAGGCAATGAGACATCTGATAGTTTGAACATTTTGCATTGAATCTCTTATTTGGGAAAAGCATTTGGAATTTTATTATGGGCTATCATGGGGAAGTGAATTTTCCCATCTTGTTGATAAAACGTAGATTCATAATACTTTGTAGGCAGTTTGCATTTGAAAAGTAATGCAGTCTTTTTTTTAAAAAAATAGCTTTTATTCTGGGTGCCGGTTGGCTTATAACAGGTCACTCCTCTCTTGTGGAAAAAATCATGGAAGTAGAGGAATCTCTAGCAAAAATCAGTAGCTAATCTGGAAGTTTGTATAGTGAAGCTGTGTTTGGCTGGCTGAGCATACAGGAAGAAATGGTGAAGAAAAAATGAGCCTGCTGGCTATCATTAATTGCAAAATTAGATATTTGATTTGAAAAGAATTCCTGTTCCTCCTGTTCTTAAAGGATCACACCTTATTTCAAATTTCTCTTCTGCCCTACGGTTAAAGGTACATAACAGTAAATGCTTATTATACTTATATATAGGAGCTGTGACATATATAGTTGGATTGTAACACATGTACTCCTGGGACATTGGGTGACTGCCAACACTTGTAATTAGCAGTTTGCAAGAGTGCATAGTGTGGTTTATCCTCAGGGGAACCTTCTGAATTGGATAAGTGAGCTATAATTTATGTTAGCAAACTTGAGGGCCTGGATAGGGTTTGAATGTGTCTTCCAGCTAAATAGATACTCCATAATGGAATCCAAAATATTGGATTCCCTAGTGACAGTTGATCACCAGTTAGAGGCGTTGACTTCTTTCCTCCTCCAAGAGTACTAGGTGATCTCCAGTCATCAACCTGGATTCAAACAGTAAAACTAAATAACTTAGGTTGGGGGGGGGGTTAGGGAGTGAGGGAGAATAACTAAAATAACTTCCTGAGAGAAAGGAGATATTAAATGGGTTCAAATAGGTTTGTACTCAGCCAGGCAACATTTGAGATGGTGGGAATCCAACTTATTGGCAAGCCATAAGTAGCCATCCAAGTAACACAGTGATGCCATTGAATGTTTTGGCTTGTTTTTGCCTTTCAGGGAAAAATTTGGAATAATAGTGAGAGCAGGAAGCCTTCCAGAAGCCATTCCTATTCTTAAGCTCCCTTCAAAGCCTGAAAATGAGGTGAAATTTTGCGTCACCAAAATTTGGCTATTTTGCCATTGAATTTCAGGAGTAAGATCTTGGGGTATGAGAGAACACAAATTGAGTGGTTAGGGTGCATGTGGGCCTTGGACCATTGCTTTAAGTGAGAATGGATTTGGTTATTTTTGGCTTAGTGTGTTGGGGAAAGCCAAATACTACAGTTTTTTCAACCATATTTTTTAGATTGTTAAACCATAAATCACAATTGAATGTCATTTATTCAGTGCATTATAGTTAAACTATAGTATGATATATGTATCCAAGCACAGGCTATTATACCAACGTTAGATAATAGTTGAGGTTGTAAACAGTACAGTTGTGTCTGTCATTACTGGTCCCTAGTTCTGATATGCAGAAAGGAAATAGGTTCTGATATGCACTACATACACATGAGAAAAAGAGACCAAGTTAAGCCTTGTTGGTATCCACAATGACTAACCATTCTTCCCAGAGTGTGTTTTAGAATCCTCTGCAACATTTACAGATTCCTTACCTATCATCTCTGTGTGGGTAGGATCTCCCCCAAATTTAAAAATCTCTCCAGTACAACTTCTATAGCTTGGGTGGCCTGCTCACATCCTGAGAATATACATACTGCTTCACAAAAAGGACATATCCTGGGTTTTGGAGGGATTTGTGTCTCAGGTCAATATCTAGTAGGGTTGTACAGCACTTTATATTTAATTTCCACAATAAGTTTTAGAGAGCATGAAAACACAAATATAGCACCTGTTTGCAGGACCTTAAAATAGTGATGGCTTTTCCCTGAGCTGCTGTGTGATCCCTAGAAAGCACACAGTTGTGTTAAGGTATTGCAGACAGGTGCTGCATTTCTCTTTGGAGCAAAGCATAGTCCTAGTATCAAAAACAAGAGTTTATTCTGGCATAAATGTACACTGTGCTATGGAGTCAGGATGAATTCATCAAATAGGACAGTTGTAAAAATCTAAGTATGTGTTAATAGTGAAGATCAGTAATACAATCTTTGGTATTCCTATTGGAATTTCAAGGCAGGGTGTTTGATTCCATAACTGTTGTGGACAGTTGATAGTTCCCTTAATCAAAAGTATGTTAAAAGCTTTGAGTATTAAAGTGAAGAAATATTGTGTACTTTTATATAGTCACAAGATCAGTCTGGAGCGATTGTTTGTCAGTGGCCTGTTACTATGACACATTTAACAGGAAAATTTGGTAAATAGAGCAATATATTTAGCTACAAAACTCTCTCTGCTCCCTGGTCGGCTGTGCTATTTTGCTAAACAAGGTCAGGTTTAATTACCTTTTTTCTAATTGCAATGGAAATTATATTCTAGAGAGGCCCAGAGAAAATGGGAACTCTCTAGACATTCTTTGTCCTTGGTTGTTTGGTTCTCACTCTCCACCCCCCACCCTGCAACTGCAAGGGAAAGTGAAAAAGGGGGAGAAGCAGGTCAGTGTAGGTATGCCACTCACTCAGTTATATTACCACAATTTTAATTCTTAAAAATGTCAGTCTTGCTCCAAATAATCCTAAAAAAAAAGTGAGAAAGGAAAGAAATCTCTGAGACATCTAAAAAAGGACCACTGACCAAGTCATTCCATCTTGTGCATATGCAGAAGTGAATGAATTTGCTGGGGGAAAGGATTGCTCAGGCAACTAAGTCTGTGAACATAGCCAAAATGTATATGGCAACGACACTATCTTTTGAAGTTAACTATAAAGCAAACAGAAGTCTTCAGCAATAGTGGAAATAAATAAGAATATCCCCACAGTTAACTGCAGTCTGTTGCCTAACACGCAGAACTGATTTTAGGTACTATTGTTCCTCTGGTTCATTTTTCCTATATGTAAAGTGCTTGGGATACAATTGACCTTTACTTTATAAACATCAAAGGCCAGCAATAAACATCCACTTTAATTGTTTAGATGTTGTGTTTTATATCTATTGTGTTTTATTTTGTTTTACTGATGTTTTTACTGTACATGTGAGCCATCCAGGTTGTTAAGAGAGTGGATGTCACATATATTTTATAAATAAATAAATAGCTAGCTAAACTGGGAGATTTAGCAGGTGCTTGATAATACAGATAATATGGCCAATTCTTTGGTCTGAAACTGAGTCCCTTGGGTTATTAAATCCTCCTTTCCTCTATGTATATGCCCACAGAATTTAGCAACTGTAATTCAGAATAAAGGAATAAAAGATTATATCACTCCCCACCCCAAACTGATAGCTCTAGGTGATTCATCACCCATTGAAAGGCAAAATATGGCAGAATTACTATGTAAGGAAGGAAGGAAGGAAATTTCTTCCAGGAAATCTGGACTCTGCCCCTGAAGCCAATCACAGGCTTCAGAAGTATGTGTGGTTTCCCTTCCTTCAAAGCAATACTAAAAGGTGTTGAGAGGAAATGTATAAATGAATAAACACTAAACCCTGCCTAGGAATCATAATTAGCTGAGGTCCCTACATGAAATTGCTCTCTTGTACTTTTACTCTAAAAACACCCATTATTCAATAACAGTGAATTTTGAAGAATTAAAAAGAGGTATAGCCCTTGAGATTTTCTGGTGATGTAGTTCTTATTTATTCATATAATAATAGCTAGTCTTCAAGATTTTAGCATACTAAAACAGCACAACTGTAATGTTTTCATGTTCCTTTTCATTTGATAATTGTGGCTGTATGGAATAGCAGAGAATAAAGGCATGTTCCTGTTCTAACTTTTTAAAAAGTCATTTGTTTGGCAGCTCTGAGATTTTTCACAAACAGCTTTGAGATTTTTTAGTAGAGGAAAGCTGCTATTGTCTTAGCAATGAGTTTCTTATCTTTTCTATCCAGAGAATAGAATCATGCTCTAAATAACAAATAGCTTCTGGATATCTGGCAGCTAACTGGTTTCCAGGAAAAGAAAACCAAAA